TATATATATAGTGTTCTCCTTTTCTGTTGATATCTGTGCTTTCGGTAACAGCTTGATACATTACTCTTTTGTTTGTTCAAAATATGAACGCACACACCGTACACGTCATATTTTCATGCTCAAAACGATGAACACACAGAGAGATGCCAAAAGGAAACCTCAGTGAAAGGTAATAGTCTAGATAATATAACTGAGAGCTCATGACATGGACTGCCCTAAATATGACAGAGTATAAAAGGGTAGCTAGCAACTCTAAGCACTGGTAGGTCATTGCACGTTTACCTCTGAGGCAGAGGTCACACATCCAGGTACCTAGGACATTGAGACCCAACAACAAGTTTCAGTGTCGTGTAAAACACCTGTGTTTGGCATTATGGTCATGCCAATTCAAAGGCGTAGTTTTGTTTGTTCGGGGGCGCTAGGACAAAAATAAATGTATTTAAGGAAGGACGTACACATTTGAATGGTATTCGATTTGAACCCAGGTTTTTCGCCGGATGGCCAGAATTAGTTTGCCAACTGCGACTGTACAGCCACCAAATACTGTAAACATGTAATAACGAATTTGAAGGAACTCTTTTCAGTTTTATGAGCTACTGTAACACTCAATAAATACCAATTTAGACAGCTGAAAATGTTTTTCAAAGGAAAAAAATAGACCTAGTTTTCTAACTTTGGAAATGTTGCTCTTACGCCGTTCACATTTCTATTTTTCAGCTTTACAGACGTTTTCACAGTGGATAGTGCAACATTTTTGTCTTATCTTCGTCAAGGAACTCAAGGAAAACGGTATGTACGGATACACTTTATTTAGAGTCCTTTTGAAAACTCCTCTTCGTATTTCGTCTTCTCTCCGATCTCCTTCTTCTCCTCTCTGTTTATCTGCCCCATGATCTCTCCCCAACGGTTACCCTGTGTCAATCTGTTTTGTTTTTAATCTCTATGTCACTCTTCTTCATTATTGTTCTTCCAGTCACTCTGTCTTTCTCGTTTTAATTCTTGCAATCTTAGTTCATATAATCTCACATCTTATTATTTTTATTTTGCCGAAATATCTGGAAGGTATTTCAGGACACAGGCTATATTTGTCCGCGGAAGTATTCGTGACACATCGCATTTTTACATACAATGTTTGGTTGTTTGATATCCAAGCTTCTTTTATGTCTATTTAAAAAACCAAGTGAAAAATGATGGGGAAAAGGAGAAGGAAAAAAGAGACTAGGTGAAAATGAGAAAGTGTTCAGCGAGACAGGTAACTTAAATAGTAGCATGACACAACTAAAAATATTTAAGTACTAACAATTGAAACGAGAGTATAAAAAAGTCAACATAATTTATACCCTGTATGATAAATCATACGTGTTTGAGTAAGTTTACATCACATCGATATCGTCAATAAAGTTTTAGGTCTCCTACAAGTTCTAATCACTACTACAAAGAGAAAAGCAAACTTTACGTACGTCATAATTTCAGGACAATTTCCGCAAACCTTCGGTTGTAGTCACCAACGTCGGCAGTATGGCAGGTCGGCGTTTCGGCATCGCAAGCAGAAGAACCATGTTCAATTACTGTGTAGAGAGCACTTTAATAGAGTATATCTATCTTGGTTATCATGTTGGGACAATTTATCCCCCTCAGCCTGTGTTGGCCCTGACAGGCAAGGGGTTAAAGCCCTCTTTGTAAATGATCTAAATCATGTCGACAGGGGACGTAAAACATCCTACTTTAAAGAAAAAAATGTTTATTGACTGTATTCCAGTGAGCTGTAAGAGATAAATCCGATCATGAAAAACTGAATGTCTGTAGAATATTTCTCCTTGTTCTTTCCACACCTGTGCTGTTCAGTTGGCTGCTTGTTTGTCTAGGTACTGTTTTAATTATAGCATAAAGTAAAGATTATAGACCTCGTGGTGTGATGCTATGGAGAAATGTATGATTTATGCGCGTTATTACCATTGCTCAGGCTTGTTTCCCAACAATAATCACGTCTTCCCATCAAATAAAATGCCGTAGCACAACAACACTTTTTATACATTTATTTCACAGGCAGGCAAACACGCACGTTCACCTAATATACTACACACACAAAAAAAACAACAACAACACACGCATACATAATAATATACATACACACACAAACAGGCACACAAAAATGCACGCTCGCTCCTAGACACACATGAGAATAATATACATGGATGTTATACCTTATAATCTGTGTGTATACGTGTGCACTTGAGTGTATTTGTGTGTGTGTGCACACTTCATTGTACATAATGTTTTTACTAATAATTATTAATGAATTCTATGCATGTTAAATGTGTGCGGGCGTACGTGTGCTTGCGCTCGTGAGCATAAGCGAGCGCGCGCGCGTGTGTTTGTGTGTGTGTGTTTGAGTGTTAATGTGTGTGTGTGTGTGTGTGTGTGTGTGTGTGTGCGCGTGTGTGTATGTGTGTCTGTGTGTGTGTATGTGTGTGTGTATTTGTATTAATGCTCATTTAAGTGCGTAATATGAATGTGTGATTGTGTGTGTTTGTGTCTGAGTGGGTGAGTCTGGGTAGTACGTGTCTGTCAGACGGCATAAACATGTTTTTTTGTGTACAGCGCTTACAAGAGTATTTTGGTGGGTGACAGGAGACGGAAAAATGTGTGTGTGTGTCGGGGGAGGGGGGGGGGGGGTATTGTACCTGCCAACGCTTTGCACAGAGCAAATGTTATTAAGTGGGGTGAAATCAACTGGAAGGAGAGTTTTAGGAATAATTTGCAGACAATAATAACAGCTATTAGAGCAGAAATACAGTTTTTGAACAATTTCGTCAACGTTTTATATCCGTAAAAAACAAAGAAAAGACCAAAGTCAATAGCAATATCTTGCAATTACTAGAACAATTCCCCTTTACTGTGTATTGCAGCCGAAAGTAAACATTTGATAATATTTTGTAAAAGCTCGTGGGAATACTTACGTGTGTGCGCGCACGCGCGCATGTGTGTATATGTGTGTGTGTGTATGTGTGAGTGCTGTTCATGTGTTCGTTGAGGACGAACGGGTGAGTGGTGGTGGTTTTTGGGGGGTGGGGTGCATTTGTAGTAGAAATCGAAGCCGCTTGAAGGATCCAGAAACCGGAGTCTTATCGTTAAGAAGCTAATAGCCGAGGGCTATCAGCTATGCGGAGTCGTGATAACGCGTTAATGGGGATACAAGTGGAGGTCACTGAAAAATAACGGATGCAAAAGCTGGCCGTTTATAGTGAATCGATCGAGCCTCAAATTGCGACTTTTCAAACCAGCCGCATATATACGTCGCTTGCTTTGATTCCTGTCCTTATAATAGAATAGTATGATTTTTATAGTACTGTGTGATGGTACTAAGTTCTGCATGTAATAACTAAGAGCAAGGTATTTTGATTCTGGTGATATTTCTGTATAGATTTAATACTCCTTTCAACATTGTGAGGCTATTTAAATGGTGGGATCGCTGAATTTAACCTTCAACTACGATTGGACTAAATCATGGATGAAAAGCCTTGAAACGTCCCTAAAACAACTCAAGTGTGAGAATGCTACTTTGGGTATTCGAACCAGAGCCACCCACTCTGTAGTCCAGCTTGATGTCAATTAGGACATATGAGCATCCATATTTCTTCGACTTTAAATAAAGTAGACGTATAATAATGTGCATGCACTAGTGCCTCGTAAGGATTAATTTTCACTTTCACTGAACGAAGGGAGGAAAAAAATCAATCTTATCGTTTTATTTTTGTTTACGATCACAATTATCTCTGCAAATTTTATTGCCTGCAGCAGTGCCAAATTTGGAATTCATAAAGTTTTCTTCATCATATAGGTGTGCGACGTGTCTTTCAAGTAGTTTGCTGTACTTTTTTGTTTGTTTGCAGTAGTTAATCCTGAAACAATATTTTGTTTTTGTCTTCTTATATAGTTTGAATTGATTATAAAAACGCTCGACGTCAAGCCCGTTTCTTCTGAAAATCTTGTTCACTCTCTCAGGCTATTTGACAGCAACTCCTCTTTATTAAAGGACAAAGAATGACGAACACTTTGTGCCCATGATTTCTATACAGAGAAAAATACTAGACCAGTGAAACCACAGATTTAAGTCACAGTCCTTTGCCAGTAACAATAACCTCATTTGGTGCTATCCTTTTTCTACTTGAACAAGATTTTCCCTGAGGTCGATTCCGTCAAAACTGACGAAGATGACAAACCGCTAGCTTTGAGACATAGAGGCAGCTGTTGCCGGTAGGAATAAATTATTAATGCGTGAGACTAGACGATGAACTTACCGACCGCTCCTTAGAACCTGAGACAACCAAAAAAAAAAAAGAAAGAAAGAAAAAAATAAGAGAGAGAAAGAGCGAGATAGCGAAAGAGAACGACAGGCAGAGGTAGGTAGATAGATAAACAAAAGGAGAGAGAGAGAGAGAGAGAGAGAGAGAGAGAGAGAGAGAGAGAGAGAGAGATAGAGAGAGAGAGAGAGAGTGGGGGGGGGAGAGAGAGAGAGAAATGATGGTGGGAGAAAGGGAACGAGCGAGAGAGAAGAGAGAAAAAGAGAACGACAAACAGACTACAGTCAGACAGTCAGGCACAGACTATGAGGTTGTGAATATGGAGCCCAAAGAGTAATTGGACAGACGTTAGTGTGGGCGCGAAAGGACTGGTCAAGGATACATCACAACGATAACCGAAAGGTCTGAGCACCAAGTAGAGAGAAGTTGATTGCCTCATGTTACGGGTTATCCAGAGTTACTCAACTGGACAATTCGCGGCTTGGGCCGTCATCCAACCTCATTTTCTCTCGTAAATCTGTGTTTTCAAAGACCACTGCGGAAAAGCTGCTCAGTTATCGACCTAGGAAACCAGAAGACTGGACAATATGATTACCCCCACCCCCCTCTCAGCCCACCGCACCACCTTTCGCCCTTTGTTTGAGCCGACTGAAAAGGACTTCTGAGTTCGGTCTCCGCTTTTTGCATAATGCTTAAACATCTTATCATATCAATGTCATTTTCCAGAGAAATAATTTCGTTCCAATTTGAGTCGAACATGGAGTGGTTTCGGTGAATGCATTACCATGCTGATGAGAGTTTGTGACATGAGCATTCAAGGGTTTGCTTGGGCCAAAGCTAACATAGTTAGAACCTCCTCCCCGCAGACCCCTCCTTTTCCCCCCACGCTTGCCATGAGTTTTTGTCTCGGGTACTCTGTACATAATACTTCTCTTTTCCTTAGATGTTTGTGGACATCATCTGTTCATGCTTCCCCTAAGTTTAAAATCAAGGTTTTGCTCTGTGGCATTGTGTGCTTTTTGTTGTTGGTTTTTAATATGTTGGTGCGTTCACGTCTCCGTCGACACAATTTAGCCCATTTAGGAAACAGGTTTCGACCCTGTCTGTTTGGGCCAACACGGCTAGAGAGGAATAAAACGTCCCATTAGAGAGGCCATTCCGTTTGGCAGTGACTGAATGAAATCCGCATTACCATCTCAGCGAAACATCTTACATCAGCGTCAGTTTATTACGGATAAAAGTAGAACATAGTTCGCAAACATGCTGCCTAATAAGATTATCATGTGCTGTCCTTGTTTCTGGGCGCTCATTGGCTGAACGACGCTTGCATCTGTAGCCAAAAGTTTCGAAATAAAGACAACGGGAGAGAGCTAAAGGGACAGAGAGAAATAGAGATGGAGAAAGAGAGAGAGAGAGAGAGAGAGAGAGAGAGAGAGAGAGAGTACAAAGCTTTGAAATAAAATAATTATATTTTAGCTGCAAGTT